AAGGTTAAAATTCGGACAGAACTTATGGGATGACCTGATAGAAGAAGAATCTTTCTCAATTTTCTTTTATGAATTATTTTAAAAAGATCACAGGCGATGAAAATGTATAGTTTACAACAATGTGGAAACGAAAAGGTTCTTTGAAAAACGAAATTCGCTAATGGTAACCACTCCAAAATTTGATGGGATTGTAATATTGTGTAAGAAGAAGAAGAAGAAGAAGAAGAAGATCCACACGCCCAGGTCTTTGAAGTATAGAATTTTATGAGTGAGTTCCCTTCCCGCAATCATTTTCAGTACACTAGTCACTGGGGAGAAAGCAGGAATTTCAGTTTCTATTAGTAGATTTATTTGGGATGTAGTACGGAATGTTTAAATGCCCATTTCTTCAAGACCCATTTCTTAGAATAAAGTGTTTACTAGTTTGCAAAAGTTATACGTAGAAATAAAAAAAATGTATTCATATACAGTAGAACCTCGTAGTACGTGTGTACCATTATACGATCAACTTTACGAGCTGCCATTCGGGAGCACTTTTGTATTGTTTGTATCGTAAACTTCGCAGTATGAGCAACCATCATATACATAGAAATAGTCGGTGACTGAGGTAAAGTGAAGCAATGGCAGCTGACGTCATCTATTTCTAAGAAACAACATGATCAAAGGCAAGGTGAAGCGCCTCTGGGAACGCCTGGCATCCATAACATTTATTCATTTTATTGGAGAAAATTATTCGAAGTACTTACCACAGATAACGTCTCCTATTAATGCTATCGATTGCCTCCCTTTCTCGACGAGCGGAGAAAAGCTGGCGACAGGGGAACTTCAGCTGCTTCAGGAGCATCAAAACATGGAGTAAGTAACTAGCCAAAGAGAAAAGTGTTTCGAAGGTTACTCTCACGAGTAAGAACAAAGATGTGGAAAAGAGTGGAAAAACGTATGTATAGCTGGCCACTCGCATTCGATGATAGCCGTCTACTAGAGCGGCTAGCCAATCCCGATTACAGAGGCTTACTCAGGGGCATTTGTGTTTATTCAAAACCCACAGAGCCCACCTGTGATTTATACTGCAGTAAGCGTTACAGTTTCTGGGAAAGAGCGTGTTATTTAGCGTGATCAGCAATTTGAATAAGGCCAGCACGCTTGAGCCGTCGACCACAATGACTTCGTGCTAGCAGAACTACTCACGACCCCCAAGGGTTGACGACCACCAGGTGTTCCGTCTACCCAATTTAATTCCCAAGGCAACTCGTGGTATGGTTTTCAGGTACTTTCCAAAGGTGCCGCACGCTGGGATCGACCCCCTCCAGTTCGATAACATTAGGAAGTCTCCTTCTTGACAAATCGAGATTCGAACCCGGGTCTCATGGTCAGAATGCGAACGTTCTAACCACTCGGCCCATAACGTGGAAAAATATCACCCACAAAAATTAAGTGCAAGTCGTGCGGCTGCTTCGTTCAACAAAAATTTTGTTGACTATTTTCGTAGCATTTTGAAATCAAGAATGAAACAGATTTCTATTGAGGAATGCCGAAAGAGAATCAAATGCCATAAAAGCCTTTAAGTTCTGAAGGAAAACGCCAGAAACTTTGTTATGAAAGCTTTGTAGTTTAATAAAAGCTGTTTTTTCTTTCATTCTCTCTTATCATGTTCTTATTTCATGTATTTTGGGGATTTCATTTTTTTATTCTCCCTTTTCTACTTTTTAAATTCTGAAAAAATTCTATTTTTAAAAGGTATAGTTTTTATTTGTTTTTTTTTGTTTTTTAAAAAAAAGGCATAATTTCTATTTGTTTTTTTCCAAGGCAAAATTTCTATTTGTTTTTTTTTTTTTAAAAGGCATAATTGCTATTTGTTTTTTTCAAAGGCATAATTTCTGTTTGTTTTCTTTTTTAAACGGCATAATTTCTATTTGTTTTTTAAAGGCATAATTTCTATTTGTTTTTTTTTTTAAAAAGGCATAATTTCTATTTGGTTTTACGTTTTTTAAAAAGGAAAATTTCTATTTGTTTTTTGTTAAAGGCATAATTTCTATTTGTTTTTTAAGGCAAAATTTCTATTTTTTTTTTAAAGGCATAATTGCTATTTGTTTTTTTCTAAGGCATAATTTCTGGTTTTTTTTTTTAAAGGCAGAATTTCTATTTGTTTTTTTTTAAAAAGGCATAATTGCTATTTGTTTTTTTTTCTTCTTAAAAGGCATAATTTCTGATGGTAAAGAGAAAAGAATGCCTTTTATTTGCTTTCTCCATTGTTTTGAATCCAGAGTAATTCTCCCCATTGACTGAATGCCAACCAAGGTTTAAAAAAAAATCTCGACACTACTTAAATTGAATGTTCTTGTAAAAAAAGGAAAATTCCATGACAAATTCGAAACAAGAAAAATTCTATGAGTTTTCCATGATTTACAGGAGCATTGGACATCGTGTTTTCAGCTTCATCTTTTTTTGGGTGTGGTATTATTATTATTATTATTTTAGTTGTTCTACATTGATTTAAAAATCGTACAGTAGATAATGGCGAAAAATAAGGTGTTTGACCTCATAAAATCGTTTAAGAAGAGAAAAGTAAAATGCTGAAAGAAAGCAAATATTTCCTCGACTGATTTTCAATTTCATGTGTCAGTTTGCTTCTGGTGAGAATCAACGCGGAAAAAGTGCGCACAGACTTGACGCGTTCATGTGTAAAAAACAAAAAAGAATCGTGAGTGAATACGAATAATAATAATAATAATAATAATAATAATAATAATAATAATAATAATAAATTGTGTATAGATTCGAAGGGAATGCCAGAGAATACCAAAAATAACAATGTGTTGAAGAAGCAGGCTCACTTTAACAGGTTCCAATGTTGAAAATTCACCATATTTATAATTTAGAATTTATATTATCGTAATCGATTTTTGCCTCGAGTGTCAAAATGTTCATTTTTGGTCTTGAGTTACAGTTAAATAAATGTTGATAAGTTTGTGTAAATAAGCGTGTATCAAGTACATCAGAAAGTGTCGGGTAAGTACGTTTTTTTAAACATTTATGTTTGCGAATATTTACGTGATTTTTTTTTTTGCGTGTGACAGACTATGTAATATGGAAAAAATGTGTACTGTTCTATAGAATTATGCTTAGAGTACCAAGGACGTGACAGGTAAGCAAGAAGGGGAGCTTAACAAGCAAACTGGAATTGTCAGAATCAAACAAGAACAGAAATTTAACTATTTGCGAAATGTTTTAACAGACGTTGGAATATTTAACAAAAGAATATGGAGGCGTATTTGAATAAAGAAAGACGCCTGTCATATTTTTTCGTTTATTCCACCTTTTGTAAAAATTCAGTGTTCCTCTAATTCTCCACAGTATCTTAAAATCATATAACTTATTGTATGATACCTGCCGCCATTTTTATTTCTCTAAATCAGAACAATACAGCGAGTTATCGTTCTTTGCCGTAAGATTATTAGTCGATGTTGTACTTTTCGTCCATTTTCTTACACAATCGCTTCGTGCTGAACGAAGGAAACAGTCTGTTGTAATCGAAATGAATAAAACATTTTAGCCTAAAAAACAAGAAGGTATGTAAACTTTTTTTTTTTTTAATGTTTTAGTTAGTATTGCTTCTGACTCAATTTTTACCAATAAATGTAGTGAATAGCTTTCAAGAAGGCCTTCTCAATAGTAGCCCCAGGAAGACACGATGGAATAGTAAACACGTACACGTATGAAAACGGTAATTCTATTTTTGAAAAGAACACCATACAGGATTTTGTAGCCTCATTCATCTTCTTTTTATCCTTAACTCTATTTTTAATTCGTTCATTTTTTTTTCCATTTTTCTTTTCAGTATTATCCTTTTCCTTCGAAATTCTTTAGGACGAACACATTTCGACATTTTTCACTTTTCACACTTTTATTATTTTCATTTGTCTGAATGCCCCCTTTACTTCGTTAGTTCTGTTCATACATTAATTTCTTTCTTTCTTTCTTTCTTTCTTTCTTTCTTTCTTTCTTTCTTTCTTTCTCCACTCCATATTTCTTTTTCCTTCTATTCCATTCTTTCTTTCTTTCTTTCTTTCTTTCTTTCTTTCTTTCTTTCTTTCTTTCTTTCTTCACTCCATATTTCTTTCTTTCTTTCTTTCTTTCTTTCTTTCTTTCTTTCTTTCTTTTTTGCTTTATTTGTTTGTTTGTTTCTTTCTTTTGCTCTAGCTATATTTTTATTTCTTATTCCTTTGCTTTCGTTTTTTCTTTGCTGTCCTATTTTTTCTCTTTCTTTTATTATTATTTTATTCTCTTTTTTACATTCTTTTATCCTTTGTTTTCATTCATTATTTATTATTTCGGCTTCCTCAGTTTGTATTGTTTTTTTTTCTTTCTTTCCTTGTTTTTGTTTTATCTATATCTTTCTTTCTGTCTTTGTTTTATTCCAAGTTATATTTCATTCTTTCTTTCTTTCTTAGTTATATATTCGTTTTCATTCTTTCCCTATTTCTTTCTCTTTCTCTCTTTTTCTTCTAGCTATCAGAAATTCTTTCATTTTCTCCAAGCTATATCTTTTCTTTCTTTCTTTCTTTCTTTCTTTCTTTCTTTCTTTCCAAGTTATATATTTTTCTTTCTTTCTTTCTTTCTTTCTTTCTTTCTTTCTTTCTTTTTGTTTTATTCCAAGTTATATATTTTTCTTTCTTTTTTCATTCTTTCTTTCTTTATTTTTCTTTTTTTCTTTCTAAGTTATATATTCGTTTTCATTCCTTCTCTCTTTTTCTTTCTCTCTTTTTCTTCTAGCTATATCCTTCTTTCATTTTCTCCAAGTTATATCTTTCTTTCTTTCTTTCTTTCTTTCTTTCTTTCTTTCTTTCTTTCTTTCTTTGCTCTCTCCTTTTCTCTCTATTTTACATTTAATTTCTCCCACTTTTTCTGTTCTTATTTTTTGCTTTTATTCTTCATTTGCATTCTACTGTTCCATTTTCATTTTTATCTGAGATTTAAAAATGCAAACTTTATGCAAAATGCTAAAAATATATAGAAAGAAAAGAAGGTGCAATTTTTAATACCCCCTTTCCCCCAGTTATCAACATGGCTGCGCCGATTACAATTGATGAGATAGATAGATAGATATGAAGAGACTGAGATAGATAGATAGATAGATAGATAGATAGATAGATAGATATGAAAATACTGGGATAGATAGATATGAAAATACTGAGATAGATAGATAGATGGATAGATAGATATGAAGAGACTGAGATAGATAGATAGATAGATAGATAGATAGATAGATAGATAGATAGATAGATAGATATGAAAATACTGAGAGAGATAGATATGAAAATACTGAGATATATAGGTAGATAGATAGATATAAAAAGACTCAGATAGATAGATAAATAGATAGATAGATAGACAGATAGATAGATAGATAATGAAAAGAGTGACATAGATAGGCAGACAGATATGAAAAGACTGACATAGATAGATATGAAAAGACTGAGTTAGATAGATAGATAGATAGATAGATCTGAAAAGACTGACATAGATAGATAGATAGATAGATAGATAGATAGATAGATAGATAGATAGATAGATAGGAAGAGTAGAGATTTTTCGTTACAGCATCCCAGAAAAAACGAAATGAAAGTGAAAAACTATCACTGTTTTTAAATTATTAAATTCTTTGCCCTTGCTTATCTCGTCTGATAGTTACCCACATTTTAACATTTTACATTTTTGCATCGTCATAATAGCCTATTTGTTTAGTGCTCTTACTATTTGTAAAAATCTTTACCCGGTGAAGACTGTCTAATATTGTACATACTGAAAACTGGGTAGGATTTTACATTCTTATCATTTCCTGATTATTTACGGAATGCTTTATCACTCGTAACTCTCTGAATGTTGACAAAGTCATTACTCCTTACGAGTTGGTTAAATCTTTCTTCCCTGAGAGTTGACCAACAAGTTATTACTCTCTACGAGTTGGCTAAGTCATTCATCACTGTGAGTTGACTAGGGGATTACTGTTGTAGAGTAGTTTTCACAGTGGAGGCTTGTATTTCACTAAGTCGGTCCTAAATTAGGTTCGACGTACAAAACGTTAGGAACTTGAAATAAGAGTTAATGACGCAGCAATCTAGTTGTGAGGCTCATACTTTAATGTCCGACATCGACTGACTCACACAACTCACTCCGCTCCACTGGCGACTGCTACTACTACTACTTATTATCTGTGGGAGAGTCTATTTACAATAGAATAGGTATGATCTAGTATAACAATTACTGAGAGCTGACTAAGTCATTGATCACTGAGAATTGACGAGGTGATTACTCACTGAGTGTTGATTATTACTCTCCTACGAGTTGGTGCTGAGTGTTGTCTAAGTCATGATTCTTTTAGAGTTGATTTACTCTTTACTCTCTGGGATATGGCCAACTCTTTAATCTCTGCTCATTGATTATCCTTTTCTTCTCTGAGTGTTGACTAAGACATTAGTTTCTAAGTATTGACAAAGTCACTACTCCCTAGGAGTTGGCGAAGTCATTACGCTCTGTGTATTGACTAAGTGATTACTCACTGAGAGTTGATTAAGTGATTACTCACTAAGTGTTGACTAAGTCGTCACTCCATACTAGTTGGCGAAGTCATTACTCTCTGAATCTTGAGTAAGCCATTGCTCACTAAAATTTCACTAATTCATTGGTGACTGTGATTCGACTAAGTTATTATTCACTGAGAGTTGAATAAGTCATTGCTCACTGACAGTTGACTATTTGATTACTCATTGAGAGTCGAGTATATCATTATTCATTTTGAATTGACTAAGTCATTGTCCACTGGGAGTTGATTAAGTAATTACTCACTGAGACTTGCCTAATCAATACACTCATTGTATTAGCTCATTACTCACTGGGAGTTGACTATGTTACTCACTGGGAGTTGACTAATTCATTATGCCCTGAGTGTTGAAGAAGTCATTACTCACTGAGAGGTAACTAAGAGTTTACTCACTAAGAGTGGACTAAGTGATTTCTGACTGAGTGTTGACTAAGTCATTACTCACTGAGAGTAGACCAAGTCATTGCTCATTGAGAATTGGCTAACACTTTAGTCTCTGGTCTTTGATTGCTTGCCACGAAGCCCTTTACTTCTTGTAATCTACCTGATTTGTTTTAGAGTGCTGTCAACTATTTACATTCTGAGAGTTGCCTAACTACATTCTCGTCGTCGCTGAATTGTTTATTTTCCAGTATTAACCGACATTTCTACTTTCTGATATTTGCATTACTTCCTACCTTTTAATGATTGATTTAATTCTCTACAATGTATATCACTATTTTGACCTACACTGTTATCTATTGCTTTCTTCGTATTTAATTTTTTTTATTCTTATTTTCTCTTTTAACGTTGTCTGTTTCTTTTCCCAGGAGTCTATCAGATTTTCTCTACTTGAATTAAAGGAAAAAAAAAAAACCTCTTTCTTTTCTTGCCTACAGATTTTATTCGCCTTTCTTTATTTCTGATCTCTGTGCAAGAAACAGAACAAACAAAAAAAAAATCACTTTTCCATTTCATTTTTGTCTTTCATAAAAAATATTAGACTTTGAAAAACTGTAGGGATTTAGAAAAATAAAATAAAGTAATCAGTCTTGCTAAGAAAATGCGAAAAATGAAACAAAGAAAAACAAAATACCTTAATTAAAAAAATACAAGTGCAAAAAATACAAAATAAAATGCAAATAAAATACAAAAATAAATACATGAAATAAATACCAAAAGGAAAAAAAATACTTAAAATATAAAAAATATTTAAAATACAAAAGTAAAAATTTGCAAAGACATGAAAAAATACAAAAAAACAACAACAAAAACTTAAAAAAATAGAAAAAATAAAAACAAAAAATAGAAAAAATTAAATAAAAACAAAACATAATACAAAGAAAATAAGAAAGAAACAAAAGATGAAAAATGAAATTTTATTTCTATCTTGAGAAATACTTTGTTATTTCATAAGTTAATTTTATCATTTTCGATCTCAAATGCTACTGGAGGGTTTTGATAAAATTATTAGACATTCACATTTGAAAGATGATAGAGAATCTAGAAATTATGGCGCCGATTATCACAGTGACCAAAATTATCTAAGATTAACAATAATGGTAATCATGCCGTCGGAAAGCACAATAGGTATTAAAAATGATAACAAAATTCCCGAGGAGAAAATGATAGCAATACGAAAACCTTCAAAGATAGCACTGCAATCATTAAAGATTATGGCACAGGGGGGAGGGTGGTATTGGATTTAATAATGAATAAAGACGCCAGGGAAATAATAAAGAAACACTAATGCCCTCAATAATTATAGTGAAAAAAAAAAGAAAGAGAGATGAAGTATTAATAATAATACTACAATGCTTAGAGACGACTAGTTGTATACGAAAAGAAAAAAAGATACAATGTTTGACTATGTTCAAAAATATTTCGACAGTATATCTGTCTTCTTCAAGTTGTGATTGGGGTCTATGCCACCGAACCTAAAAACCGTCCTGGGTAAGACGATAAACTATATCCGCGTCATGAGTAAGACGATAAACTACATCCGCGTCCAGGGTATGACGATAAACTACATCCGCGTCCTGAGTAAGACGATAAACTACATCCGCGTCCTGGGTATGACGATAAACTACATCCGCGTCCTGGGTAAGACGATAAACTACATCCGCGTCCAGGGGAAGACGATAAACTACATCCGCGTCCTGGGTATGACGATAAACTACATCCGCGTCCTGGGTATGACGATAAACTACGTCCAACATCAAGACTTATGATTAGGAGGTTAGATTAGGAGCGTGGGACCACCTCTTGATCGCTAGTGTTTCCAGGTCTACCCTGACCCGGGTTGGTAGTACCTGATAGGGTCCCAGCTATAGGCAAATAGTTAACACCAAACTGGGATCAAACACGACGAAAGCGTAAAAATAAGTGTTAATACCAGAAACACTTTGTAAAAAAATATTACCAGCACTAAATGTTTGAAAAAAAAAAGAAAAAATTACCGGTAATACATTTAAAACAAAAATATTACCTGCAATACACTTTTGAAAAAAACTATTACCAACTATACATTTTTGAAAAAAAATATTAATAGCAATAGATTTTTGAAGGAAAAATATTAGCAACAATAAATTTTTGAAGAAAAAATATTACAAGCAATGAAAATTTTGTCGGCATTAAATAACCCATTGAGGTGGATATGCCGTAAAACAAACCAAACAAATATATACTGGGATAGATAGATAGATAGATAGATAGATAATATAAGCAGCAATAAAAAACTTGTCGGCATTAAATAACCCATTGAGGTGTTGATATGCCGTAAAACAAACCAAACCAATATATACTGAGATAGATAGATAGAAAATATAAGCAGCAATAAAAATCTTGTCGGCATTGAATAACCCATTGAGGTTGTTATACCGTAAAACAAACCAAACCAAACTAAACTGAGCCTAAAGACGTACATCAGGAAAGTCGAAAATAAAGCCTATTATTCTATTACTTTAGAAGTTTGCATGTTTAACACTTGGAAATATTCTGTGAGAAGTAAGGTTACGTCTGAGGTTGTACAGAATGCGAGATCACTTGTTGAAAGTGTGCGGAAGAAGAGACCATAATAATAATAATGACAATAATAATAAAACATTTAGAGAAACGGGCGATTTAAGAAAAGAAAAAGACAAGAAGACATAGCGCTTTGTCTTATTCAAAGTAAGTTTAAAAATGTATACAAGTATAAAAATATAAAAAAATCTACAAAGGACATTGTAAGAGATATAACTGAGTACATTGCGCCGCGCTTATTCGCGTTTCAATATACGCGGTTTCACTTATTCGCGTTTCAATATACGCGGTTTCACTTATTCGCGTTTCAATATACGCGGTTTCACTTATTCGCGTTTCAATATACGCGGTTTCACTTATTCGCTTTTCAATGTACGCGGCTTTATATATTCGTGTGTTTTTCTGAAGGACGTATGTACAAATTATTCACTGAGAACTTTCTCAATTCGCGTATTTTTTCGATAGGACATATTTTTTTTTTAAGCGTTTCACCCCAAGCAAGGCGGGAAGCCACTAGGACGCAAGGGGTTACAGAAAGTTTAGAGCAAGATCATTTAAAATATTTTTGTGTTATTTCCCTGTTATTTAAGTGACTTGAAACATTATAGTCCAATTTTATGGTAGAAATTGACAGACTTCATTGTAAAAAAACAAACGCAAAAACATGCATAGTGTCTGGGCTTTTTTCTTTGTTAGGGGCTGCGGTTGGGCTCTTAAAAGTGGCTTATGCTAAGTCTGGAGGCATCATCACAGTTCTGTTTTTAGAAAATGCTTTAAACTTTATATTTTATGTCTTGTTAAACAGATTTTGTACAGTATTTTCAAAGGTTGTATCGATCTATGCGTAATTAAAAACGGTTATTGTACGTATGAAAGAAAATTCAGTGTTATAGAGCGAACGAAAATTTTTTCTTCCTCCGTATAAGAAACGAATCCCTCGTCGCCAATGTGTTGTAGAGTAGTTTTCACAGTGGAGGCTTGTATTTCGCTAAGTCGGTCCTAAAAGGGTCCGACGTACAAAACGTTAGGAACTAGAAAATAATAGTTAATGACGCAGCAATCTAGTTGTGGTGGTTGATACTTTAATGTCCGACATCGACTGACACACCAACTCCACTGAGCCCAACTGGCGACTGCTACTACTACTACTTATTATCTGTGGGAGAGTCTATTTACAATAGAATAGGTATGTTCTAGTATAACATTTAGTCACCAATACAGTTTTTCAAAAATGTTTTAAAAAGGGGCTGAAATGTTTCTAAAGTGTTTAGGATGAAAGTTTAAGGCATATGGGCTTTTAACAATCAAAACAGTTATAAACATTTTTAGGGGGATGGTTTCAAGTATTCACGGATTCTAACTATTCGCGCCCGGTTCTGGTCCCTAACACCCCCATCCCCGCGGATACGTGGGTCTCACTGAAAATAGTCGTAACAATGAGAAACAGTAAGACGGAGAAACAACAAAAAATATTACTTATTACCTGGTTGTTATGTGGCTTTGGAGACACGAGTCTCTGTATTAAGAGAGTAAAAATTGTGAGTTTGGGTTCAAATGTAGATCAAATATGGATCGGAATATCCATAGAATGATGAGATAAAGAAAAAATATGTGTTTTTTTTTTTAAAGATATTTGCAATGAGTGTCCTGATAATTTAGTTGGAACAGTGTCTGGGGTTTACTTACCTCCAATTTTTGTTGATAAATGTTATTATTATGGCCTGAAAAAGGAAAAGGAGCCGGAATTTTCATTGACGCATGTGTTGACGGCCTGTCCGTGTTGACTGCTTGTCTGATAGTGACAATGTCACGTGTTTGCGTGTATAGAGGAGAAAAGCGGAGTCGATTCTTATTGGATCAGAAAGTGTGAATTAATTATAATTATAATTGTTATAATTAATTTATTTTGTTTATGGAGGCGACAAAGGCTCTCTCCAGCTCATTAGAAATTTATTTCTGCTCATATGTAAAAATAATGGTTTAATATTTAAAGTATGTTTTGTAATGTTGGGGCCAATCAACTTGTCTTTCAGACCTCGTTGTAATATTCTTCTGTGTTGTTGTTTTTGATGGAGTGTCATCGGTTTTACTGGATGTTTGTTGATCTGTCTTTGTGCCTCCAAAACTACATAACAACCAGATATTAAATAATACTCGTTTTGCTATTTCTACGTCTTGCTGTTTTTCATTTCTATGAATATTTTTGTATCTGTAAATGTAAAGGAAGTGGTTATAATACAAGTCTTTCGTATAAACGTCAATGTACTGATAAGAAAACGGCTAATACTACCATTAACATCATTTTATTTGTAACCTTGAGTCAAAACTAAACTATTCTTAGGGAATAACAGTGCTAGATAATGAACATATTGCAGTTGTCAATAAGTAGTTAATAAAATATACCGTATATATCCGCGTATAAGACGATCTTTAGATAAGACAAAGTCAAAAATTTATCTATTTATCCTATACCTGTAGTATAAGATGATTGCTTTCTGATTATATAAAGACGATGTTATTGGAAATGTTGTAACTTACTGTATCCTTAGAAATTCAAAATAAACGAAATAACAAGACCGATTCTACATCATGCTTTCCCTACACACGTCCATTAAAAGGGAAACCATTGTTTTGTTTGTTTCATCACGTGATCTCTTGCGAATATTGATTCTTCTTCTTCTAATTCGGAACAGCTACAAAGAAATACAAATATTACTGTACTAATAGCCATTCATTTATATTTCATTGACAATCACAAGCTACTGCTCATAATAATACAATAATGTACGATAATAGTCTATATATTCCACGTTTATTGAAAGTTTAGCGATAGATAAAAGTGGCTGTGAACGCAATCATAACTCGATGTTTACATTTTCTCATCTGATCTTGCATGGACACAAGTTGATTTCATTAATATGGATATTTTGATATTCTTCGAATAGGCAATTTATTATAAAGTTATGCTAATAATATATCAGATAGAAATGGTTTTATTACTTTTATTGCCAGTTTATTTGATAATGTGAAACTTTTCATGTACGTTATTGGTTACAGCACCAAGGCCGAGGTTAGCCTGCAGACAGATATTACTCAGAATTTAAGGTATCTTTTTTAGAATTGCAATATAAGACAATTCCAGTTTTTAAAAGTGATTTTTGTTATTTAAAGGTCGTCTTATACACGGAAATATACATGTAATATAATGTAAAAAGTGATTAATGTGATGCGGATCATGCTCATTGTTAGTTGATTAGTTACTATAAAGAACCAATCAAACATTTCAGAACAAACCTCATGGAAACTCCGTTCATCACAACCGCACACCAACACGGCTATAGTTTCGACGAGCGTTTTGGGATGCACATTTTCAGGGATTATTCAGAGTCTACCGGATTTGCGACCCTTAAAACACATGATGATGGTTACGTAGGCAAACTGCTAATTATAGAACACTCTCGACCCTGTAGAATGACGGGAGAGTTCCATAAGATTTATATTACAATAGCTGTTTGATTAATTCTTCTTAAAGATAATGAAAATAACGTCTTATTCATAATAACAATAGCTGTTTGATTAATTCTTCTTAAATATAATAACAATAACTGTTTGATTAATTCTTCTTAAAAATAATAAAAATAACGTCTTATTCATAATAACAATAGCTGTTTGATTAATTCTTCTTAAAAATAATAAAAATGACGTCTTATTTATAATAACAATAGCTGTTTGATTAATTCTTCTTAAAAATAATAAAAATAACGTCTTATTCATAATAACAATAGCTGTTTGATTAATTCTTCTTAAAGGTAATAAAAATAACGTCTTATTCATAATAACAATAGCTGTTTGATTAATTCTTCTTAAAAATAATAAAAATAACGTCTTATTCATAATAACAATAGCTGTTTGATTAATTCTTCTTAAAGGTAATAAAAATAACGTCTTATTCATAATAACAATAGCTGTTTGATTAATTCTTCTTAAATATAATAAAAATGACGTCTTATTTATAATAACAATAGCTGTTTGATTAATTCTTCTTAAAAATAAAAAATAACGTCTTATTCATAATAACAATAGCTGTTTGATTAATTCTTCTTAAAAATAATAAAAATGACGTCATATTTATAATAACAATAACTGTTTGATTAATTCTTCTTAAAATAAAAAATAACGTCTTATTCATAATAACAATAGCTGTTTGATTAATTCTTCTTAAAAATAATAAAAATGACGTCTTATTCATAATAACAATAGCTGTTTGATTAATTCTTCTTAAAAATAAAAAAATAACGTCTTATTCATAATAACAATAGCTGTTTGATTAATTCTTCTTAAAGATAATAACGTCATATTCATAATAACAATAGCTGTTTGATTAATTTTCTTCAATAACGTCTTATAATAACAATTGTGTTTTTTTAAAAATATTTTTAGTTTGTTTTAGGCTCATCCCGCTCACATCGCTTATAATTTACAGATTTTTATATATAGATTTTTATGCTCATTAAATTTTTATGTCATGGGGATGTGTTTTTGTAGGTCCCCTGAGTGTATTGCGGTATTATGGTATATGGAGCATTGAATGATGGTGTATGAGTTCTTATGTTGGATGTGCAATTTGTAACGAGTGAATGGGTCGTGAATCGGATTAGCTAGGTATAAGATACTAAGTGACGACCAGCCTCAACCCTTTCTTCCTTTTAATCCTTTACAATAAATCTCAACAATAGC